GGTAAAGGGCAGACTGGCAAAGCTGAGGGAGGCCCTCGGTGACATGAACTGGTCTAACCTCCACAGCGAACTCAAACACAGTCAGCATCATGACAATGGTGTGGTGCTGGGCAGCATTTTGTTCTGTTATACTTAAGGTATGTACTAATCAAAGTCACTCAAAGGCAACGAACAAGATGTCACAAAGTGGTCAAAAGCAAGTTTAAAAACTAATCCATGTAAAAAAGGGGCTCAGTGGGGCACACATGAAAACATGGGTTTTCCTATACTGTCTCTGGAGTCCTGGTGTGGCGCTGTGGGTTAATGCGCCAGACTGCAAAGCCATTTGAACTGCAAAGTCGGCAGTTCAAGCTCACCAGCTGCTCCTTGGAAACCCTATACAAGGTCACTATGGGTCGGAATCGACTCAACGGCACTTCACAACAACAACATACTGTCTCCAAATGGAGCCCAAATCCTAACATGTACATCCAACAGCCATGTGTTCTCTGCTCCAGGACACCAATTTGTTAATGGTGAAATGAAGACAGGAAGACCTGCTTCTAGGTTTAAAACACAAACACAGACAAGTGCTCCAAAGTTTGCATTTTAATTCCAGAAGATTCTCTAATAAAACCACCTACAAATGCTGGGATGCTTCATTTTTCAGTAAACTCTCAATATGCAGGAAACCCAACTACATACTTTTTCTTCTTAATTGTGATCCCGCAAACACAAAACTACAGGTGTAGCACCTTAATTAGAACAGCACTTGGTAATTTAGACAGCATCCACACCTCACTCTTCCAACCTCAGTGAAGTAAGAGAAGGAAGTCACACAAAGCCCTCCAGTATTATGCCTTGTGTGCCTCAAAACAATGAAAAAGGTATAAAGTGCATATTACAGGTACAGAAAAGACAACTTAGCCACGGCCCCACATATTAGTGGCAGAGCTGAATTCCAATCCAGATCCGGTTACTCCAAGGACCATCCTCACTCCCTATCTATCTTTCATGTTGCCTTTCCCTTTATCAAACCAGGGTCTCTGGCAAGGACTAAACACAAGCAGGGAGAGGTGCAGGGGAAGGTAAAGCTTTGGGAAGGGCCAGCTGGCAATTGGGCCCACAACATCTCACATAAGGTCGCAGATAAGTTTAGTAACAGCCAGATGGAAGGGACCTGGGCTAGAGGACACCTCTTTGCTAAAGCATCCTCCTCCAAGGGGACTACAGCGATTTATATCACAGAGCTAGCCCGAAAGGCACAATTGGCCTGACAGCAGGCCATCTAAACCAACTGAAAATCATCTAAAAAGGAAATCTTCTTACAAGGAATCAGCACACCCACCTCCCCAGTCATGTTCTACCTGACCTACACTAAAAGGGACTCGCGTTAGGTGTACAATTCCATGGCTACATCAACTGCCCACTAAGCATGGGGTCTGGGCAAAGCTCAAGAAGGGATCCCAATGAAATGCAGCTGGGACCAGAGCCAGATCTGGAGGCGTGGGAAGAGAAGGACTGGGAGGCAGGCATTTGCTGAAAGGGAAAATGCTGCGCCTGGGGTCTCATCCATTCATTCATTCATCCCACAAGAACACTGTTCTAGCTGCTGGGGATACAGAATCACTTGTGGTTCATTATAATACACTGAATATCGAGTACCAAGAAGAAACATAAAGGAGAGTTAACAGGAAAGGAATAGTGGTGCTGATTTATGTTGGTGGTCAGAGAGTGCGCATGCAAAAGACAACTACTGATAGTGAAGAAATAATCCGTATGGACATCTGGAGGAGGCACATGTCAGAGAGAGAGAGACCAGCAGATGCAAAGACCCACAAGAAAGAGCCACGACCACCACCAGTTTGCATCCAGATGACTCTAACTTATGGCGACCCCCTGTATGTCAGGGTAGAACTTGCTCCGTAGGTTTTTGTTGTTTTTTTTTTTAATGTTTTATTGTGAATTATGTGATAGTTTACATGGGAGAACATTAGTTTTACATCCATCCTATCATATATCGTTTCATTGCCATGATTACAATCCCCTCCATGCATCATCACCCAACCAAAGGGTATACACCACAAGCCTGCCCCCCGGTCATCAGCACACAGCCCCTCTCCCTCTCTGTGTCTAAAGTCCCCAGCTGCCCCATCTCTCCACATCATCGTCTCTGCCTCCATCTGTGGCGTCACTGCCTCTCTGGGTAAGGTCCCGCTCTCTGCTCTTCTCCCTTGATGGTCCCAGGGACCTCCGCTCCTAGACTGCAAAGTTAATCACACCCCTCCTTGCTATAAAAGTCTATCCATAGGCTTTTTAATGACTAATTTTTCACAAGTAGATCACCAGGCCTTTCTTCTAAGGTACCTCTGGGTGGACTTGAACCACCAACTTTTCAGGTAGCAGCCAAGTGCACTGACCCATTTATATCACCCAGGGACTCCAAGAGCATCCTGGGCAGATCTGAGTATCAGGAAATATGAGAGATAGAGACATACTTAAATGTGGCCATCAGAGACAGACAGAGGGCCGGAGCCAGGGTGGCAGGTGGAGCAGATTGAGCACGACCCAGGGCAAGCTGGGCAGTGAACTGGCTGAGTGGCACCTGGGCCACTCGGAGGGAGACAGAGACCGCAGAAGTGAGGGGGAAGCTTCAGAAAAGTCAGCCAAGGACCATGGGTGTGCACTGGGCATTGAGGAACCACTCACTGAAGGCTAGAGGAGGGTAACCAGACCTGGGCCTGAAGCAAACCTGCCCAGAGGTGGTGGGAAGCGCCCACAGCAGAGACAGGAATCATAATACACACAGCAAGAAACCACTTCCCCACACACCCCAACATACGCAGGGTTCCCAAGTAGACACACAAGAGACAACCTGACTATGTGACCTTGTGGGCCCTGTCCTGCCCTGGGTTCCCAGGGGAGAGAGGACAGAGGAGAGGACAGGCCTGGCTGTGGGAGAGACAAGAGAAGACAGCGCCCACAGCAGCTGACTCAGCCGGGGCCGGCAGGCTGCCCAGAGAGGCAAGCTAGACCTCACTCACGACGGTGCGTAGGGAAGGGGGAAGGGACAGAGAACCCACCCTGTGGAATCACTGACCCTACTACCATCCCCGGGACAAGAATCACCCCAGTGCCTGGCCAGGTACCCAAGATGGTCAGGAAGCCATCAGATCCATGTGATCAATGCTGGATGCCTGCCTAAAGAGTTGGTGGCTACATCCTTCCCTATCAGTGCCTACACATCTCCAAACCTCTGCGCCACCCAGCCTACACCACTGCTGCCCTTTGCAGTACCTGGAGGCAGCGTGGGGAGGGCACACGCACAGTGACACTGGGGCTGCAACCCCAGCCCAAAGCTCTCTCCATTTCTCAAAGGACTCGGTTGCAAAGAAAGACACATTAGTTTCTGGAATTCTCTATGCCCACCTACCCCAAACTTTCTCTAACTCTCCTTCCCACCCCCAATAAAGGTTCTCTAAGACTTCAGAGGGAACCACCAGAGGGCCTCACCTATTGGGTAGCCAAAGAAGGTATGCAGTGAAGAAGGCAGAAAGAGCACTGGGGAGGCAGGTGAAGACTGGAAGGGGTCTCTGCTTCCAGGCTCAGCTTCCCCACCGCATCCCTTCTGACAAGCCCACAGCTGCCCAACCCTGACAAAGCCCAGCCTGATAGCAACCTCATCTTGAAATATGTTTTTCCTCTGAGTTCTTCAGTTTTGTCTAGGAAAAATCAAGGTGTTTTAGCATTCCTCTCAGCTTACAGGGGTGCGACTGGTGTCTTTTACAATTATCTCGTATTTTTACCGAGCATTTCTTAGCTCAGTTGACAAACTGAATATTTATGTTCCTCCATTTCACAATCCATCCTCACCCATTATTCCTGTGAAACTAATGTTTTATTTTAAAAAAGGAAGGGTTAGAGCTACTCAAGGGAAAGTCAGGCACATGAGGGGGCATGATACCCCTGGAGCCTGGGTTGCACAGGAAAGACCTGAAGGTGGACACTCTCCGCCTCGCTCTCCTCCTCCCCTCCCCCACCCCACTTTTCATGCTCACACACACTCTGGAACTTCTCCAAAACCCAAGAAAGCAGTGCTCCTGAGCTGTCAGAGGAGACTGGGAAAGGGGCAGGCCACATCCCTAACAAGTGGTCCGGAGAGACAGGCTTCCACAGGAAGACTCGTGGGGTACCCCACCACCTCCCCCAGGGTCTCCCCATCAGTCCTGGGAGGAGGGGCTCCCAGGCTACAACAACCCAAGAACCAAGAGCTCAGAAACAATCACTACACCCTGCGGGTTCTGTGTCTGTGTGATTCATGTCCTTCCTGGCCCAGTGGATCCTCTGTAGTGGGCCCATTTCAGCTCAGGCTGCAGACAGAAGCAGCATTTGCAGGCACCCGAGAGCAAAGGCATAGACCTATATGGTGGCCAAGGCCCCGGACAGAAGGAAGAGAAACCCTAGCCTTGCCTAGTGGGAAAGACCACCAACCCAGAGACTCAGGCACCTGCAAGGGGTACCTCAAGTGTGCAACTCTGGAAAAGTTGTCCAGCTTCAGCCTTCCCAGGTGCCAAGCTATTACTCCTCAAACCATTGTCCTTTCTCCAAAAGAAGAAAGAGCAAGAGACAAAAAGTAAAAAAATATACTCAGAAAGAGAAGGAGGGGGTTGAAGAGGCCAGGAGTACATTAACCCACAAATGACCAGCCAGGTTTTAGGCAATTCATTGTCTTCAAATCCATTGTGAGTCGAGCCCACACTTGGTTATATTAGAGTCCAACCTCTGTCAGGGCACATTAGGATAAATCTAAGAAAATTAAAAGTGTTGTTTCTGCAAGTGCATGCCAAGTTAAGGCTGGCAGGCTCAGAGTAAGGTCCCACCCTCAGGTGAGGCTGAGCAGGATCAGCAGCTTCCACTGGGAAGCTAAGGTTCCCCTTCTATCTAGTCTTTGCACCCGGAGCCGGCCGCCCACTGCGCGTCCCCCACAGGTCAGCACCCATGACAGCTTGTGCAAAACGAGGCTAGGGGCCGGTCCAGACACAGGACCGCACTGGGCTCCCAGCAGCGCGCGGTGGCCCAGGGGAAACAGAGTATGGGATTTCTCCTTGAGTGGCTCTTATAGAGGAAAAGGGCGGGGGCGAAGATGCAAGCTTGGCTTCCAGCGAGGCAGGGGACCGGGATCTGCCCCAAACTTGGGAGTTGCAGCCTGGCGCGGGGACTTCGTGCCTGCACCAAGCAAAGCGGCGGAACCAGAGCTGGGGAGCCCCCCACCCGAGACGCACGAACCGCTCGCCCACCCCGCCACGCCCGCTCGCGGGCTCAGGAGGTCCCCCAGGGATGCTGACGCTGGTGCAGACCTCGGCCCCCAGCAGCACGCAGCCTCGCCTTCCCCCGTGCTCCTGGCCCGGCCAGCAGCCCCGCTCGGGCCGCAGCATCCGCGCCCCTCCACCCACACCCCGCGCTCCGTCCCCGCGCCGGCCCGGGCGTCCCTCGGCTGCAGCCACGGGCCAGTGGGCGCGCCAGGCTCCCCGCTCACCTGCTCGACCGCGGGCTTCGCGGGGGCGCAGCCGACCTCGCCCCGCCACCGAGTCCGCGAGGCCGAGGCGCACCGCCGCCGCCGCGTCGCAGCTCTTTGTGAGCCGAGGGAAGCGGCACACGGTGACTGCTAATGAGGCCGGGAAGCTGAATAGCGGCGGGCGCGGCCGGGACGCGGCGTAAGGCACGCAGGGCCGCCTCTTCCAGGCGCACGCGGCGCGGCGGGCACGCAGGGGCCTCCGCCCGACCCTCGCCCCCCGCTCCTTTATCCCTGGTCAAGTCTGGGGGGTTCGGGAAACGCTTCCCGGCGCCAGGAGGCGGGGACCACAGAGAGGACAAAGATGCTTCCGTGATGGGCGCTGACCGGTGCTCCGCGCCCCCCAGCGCCCACGCGGAGAAGGTTCGGTCCCGGCGCCCCACCATTCACTGAATGGATGGATGGATCAGAAGCCGCAGGGGTCTGGTCCTCCGCGGGTTAAACAGGTGACGTTAGGTGTGGTGACGCTACCCTTTGAATGGTTCTGCTGTTCACATAGTGCAGAAGGGTCCTGGGGACCAAGCTCTGCTCTGCCCCACACGGCAACCAGTCCTCTGGGACATTGGGCTCAGAAAGCCCCATGTGACTGGGCGACCGCTAAGGCCTGTCCTACCCCAGACTCCCCTATCACGGGATGGATACCAAGTCGCCTAACCCTAACCTTGGAGGCCTCTTCTGTCCTCTCTTACCCAAGGGCCTCAACCTCCAATCTCCCTTTTTCTCCTGCTTTCCTGAAGGGGGAGGTCCCCAACCCCCTCTCCCAGTACTCTGTGTACCTTCTGAGGACAGGAGAGACCATACACCCACACATTTCCCAAGGAGAGTCAGTGACCCGTCCCCAAAGTACACTGCTCCTCAAATCATCTCTCTTGCAGGCCAGTGAAAGAAACATAGTTGGAATTACTTTTGACCTTTTAAACTTAGTGATGGGTATCTATGGGTTCCACCTGGTAAAAGTGCTTTGTCTGGCCAGAGCTGCAGCTCAGTGCTTCCTCCCCCACATCCAGGTTGTCTTCCTTCCCTGTTCTGGAGGAGGGTGAAGCCACTGGCTCCAGGGACCTGGAGTGAAAGACAGTGAGAAAGACGAGGCTTCCTCCTGCAGTCTTGAAGGCCCTGGCGGCTGAGGCCCTGAGAAAAGAGGCTGCCAATGCAGAATGCCGATCTGGGCGCACCACTGCCTTGTTGTTGTTGTTAGGTGCCATCAAGTCAGTACCGACTCATAGTGACCTTATGCACAACAGAACGAAACACTGCCTGGTCCTGTGTGAATCTCACAATTGTTGCCACACTTGAGCCCATCGATGCTGCCACTGTGCCAATCCATCTCCTTGGGGGTTTTACTCTTTTTCCCTGACCCTCCACCTTCCCAAACGTGATATCCTTCTCCAATGACTGGTCCCTCCTGACAATATGTCCAAAGTATGAGAGACAAAGTTTGGCCATCCTGGCCTCCAAGGAGCACTCTGGCTATACTTCTTCCAACACAGATCTGTTTCTTCTTTTGGCAGTCCATATTCTCAATATTTTTTTCAATATTCTCCATTTTCAATAGTCTCCTCCAACACCATAACTCAAATGCATCAATTTTTCTACAGTCTTTTTATTCACTGTCCAACTTTCGCATGCATATGAGGTTATTGAAAATACCATGGCTTGCGTCAGGTGCACCTTAGTCCTCAAACTGACGTCTTTGCTCTTCAACACTTTAAAAAGGTCTTGTGCAGCAGATTTGCCTAATGCAATAATACGTCGTTTGATGTCTTTACTGCTGCTTCCGTGACAACTGCCTTGGTGTACACTGAGTTGTTGTTGTTAAGTGCCGTCGAGTCGGTTTCGACCCATAACGACCCTGTATAGGGTTTCCGAGGGTGTAAATCTTTACGGGAGTAGAAAGCCTCATCTTTCTCCCGCGGAGCAGCTGGTAGTTTTGAACCGCTGACCTGAAGGTTCGCAGCCCGATTCGTAACCACTACGTTACCAGTTTCTCTGTCTTCTTCTCTCTACTTACTTCCTCCTCTCCAACACTCACTCAGGCCCACAAAGCCAGACCAACAGGTGGGAGCTGATCCTGTAGAACAGCTTCCTAGGAAGATGTCACTAGCAAGGGCAGCAAAGACAAGAGGTCCAAAACAGGCTCTGGTCAGGCTCCTTATACCCCAAGCCCACCCCCTTGTGGTGAGCATGTTTTCATGGATGCCAACATTCTGGTCACCCAACCAAGGTATTTGGCTTCATCTAGCCTTCTGTAGACTCAAGCTTTTCTCCACATACTCACGACTGGAGAGCAACAACTGGAAAGAAATTATTTCATAACTTTAAAGATTAAGCATGAGGTCCAAATGTTTTAATCTTCTGACTTTGCTCTAGTGGATATTGTAGGCTGTTTATATACCACAGAAGCCAAAATGCAATGAACAACTCTTAGGAAACCAGATGCCTATATTCAGACATAGGTGACCCAAACAACCCCATGTGTCTGTGGATGTGAGGGATCAGCTAGTTGCGTGTTCTTCGCTTCATCCATCTCTCTTGAGGTCTTCCACAGGAAAGTTCTAGACCAGTCATTAGGGATTATACCACACCCATGTACACAACGACCAATACCAGCTGATGTCCATGGTCCTCAAGGTCCAAAGGAACAGACTTTCCCCTGACCTCACCCCAAAATCAAACCCACTGCCATTGAGTTGATGCTAACATACAGCGACCCTGTAAGACAAGTAGAACCGCTCCTTTGGGTTCCATGGTTGTAAATCTCTCTGGGAGCAAGGCAGCCTCATCTTTCTCCCTTAGAGTGGCTGGTGCGTTTAAACTGCTGACCTTGCAATTAGCAGTCCGATACCTAATCCACGGTGCTATCAGGCTTCCTTAGGCGTTTTTGGTTTGGGGGCATATTTAGAAAAGTAGCGTAGTGGTTATGGATCAGGCTGCGAACCTTAAGGTCAGCGGTTCGAAACTACCAGCCGCTCCGCGGGAGAAAGATGAGGCTTTCTACTCTCATAAGGATTTACACCCTCAGAAACCCTGTACAGGGTCGCTATGGGTCGGAACTGACTCGAAGGCACTTAACAACAACAACAACAATGCCTCACTCCATTAGTCTTTCTCTTTTTCTTGTGAATTGAGTGATAGTTTACATGGGAGAACATCAGTTTTACACTCATCGTTTCATTGCGATGATTACAATCTCCTCCGTGCATCATCCATCATTCAACAATATTTGCTTCTATTCCCTTTGGCGTTTGGGGGAAAAGGTCAGCAGTTCAAATTCACAAGCCGCTCCTTGGAAACCCTACATAGGGTCACTATGAGTAGGAACCTATTTGATGGTCTTCAACAACAACAATAACAAATGTGACTTTGAAAAAATTCCTGTACAGAAATCATTTCCGTCAGCAAAGTCAACAATAAACCCAGGAGTGGGGGGAATTCACCACTCATACCACAGTTAATTCATATATAGATCCCCAAACAAACAAACCAAAAGGGCAATTCCAACTCATAGTGGCTATAGATACAGTGTTGTCAAGCCTGTAAATCTTTTCTAGTCTCATCTTTTCCCACAGAGCCTTCAGTGGGTTTGAACCACCAACCTTTCAGTCAGCATTCCAATGCTTTTCCCACAGAGCTACCAGGGCTCCTTGTGTATCAACATCTATCACTAGCTCTCTGTACACATCTTGGACTCCTGGTGTGGTGCTGTAGGATCAGCAATGATCGGCAGTTCTAACCTACCAGCGACTCATGGAAACCCTATACAGGGTAGCTACGGGTCAGAACTGACTCTACAGCACTTAACAATATTTATATATGGTGGTGGTGGTGGTGGTTGTGTGGCGCTGAGTCGGTTCCAACTCATAATGACCCTATATAGGGTTTCCAAGACACAAATCTTTATGGGAACAGAAAATCTCTTCTTTCTCCTGCAGAAGACTGGTAGATTTGAACTGCTGATCTTGCAGTTAGCCCAGCTAGACTACCAGTTATTCACTACGCTACCAGGACTAAAGAGAGAGACTCCTGATGTGGTACTGTAGGATCAACACTGAACACATTCGAAAGCGTTTGTGTTATCAATAAAGCACAGCTAAACATCTTTCTGGAATGATCTGCTTTCAGCCAAGATCCATCTGACATCAGCAATAATATGTCTTGTTTTATGTCCTCTTCTGAATCGGCTTGAACCTTTGGAAGTTCTCTGTCAAAGTATGGTTGCAGCCATTTTTGTATTATCTTTAGCAAAATTTTAGTTGCATGCAATATTAATTATATTGTCCGGTGATTTCTGCATTCTGGTTGGTCACCTCACTTTGGAATGGGTACAAGATATGGAGCTCTTCCAGTCAGTTGGTCAGGTTTGGAAATCTTCCAAATTTCTTGGCAGAGATGAGTGAGTGCCTCTAGTGCCGCATCAGTTTGTTGAAAGATTTCAACTTGCTTTCCATCAGTTCCTAGTACCTTGTTTTTTGCCAATGCCTTAATGTATCTTGGACTCCTTTCTCTAGTATCATAGGTTCTTGGTCACTTGTTTGAGCCTTTCTGTCTTGTTTTGTTTGTTTGTTTGAATGGAAATTGTTGCCTCTTGAAATGATTGAACATCAACCATTTCTTTTTAGTACAGTGACTGTGTAGTCCTTCCATCTTCTTTTGATGCTTTCTTTATCAGTCAGTATTTTGCCCATAGAATCCTTTAATATTGCAAGTTGAAGCCTGAAATTTTTTCTTCATTTCCCTCA